TATATTAACTACTACAAGTAAAAGTAAAACCATTACTTTTTTTTTTAATTTCTTCCATTATCTACCACATAGTTATTTATGTTCGAAAACAAATCTAACATTCGTTCTACGTATTGCAGCGCAAACCATTCTGGATAAAAGGTCAATTAGAATTGAAGGCAGGAGCTCAATCACTTTGGTATATGACTTGTGACACTTGTGGTTGGATGTCATTTGCTCAGTTCAGTAAAACGTATTTTTGCAATTATAGCAAATACATGCATGCAAGAGCAGTTCCTAGGTAATAACTCATATTGTAAGACCATCTACCCAAAATAATAATTATGTATATAATGTAACTAATAGTAAATTTAAAATGTCTATGGCACTTATTTTATTTTTTCTTCCAAGAGCAAGATGTAATGTTCATATTACAGATAATACTGGATCTATTTCTGCATCATTATTGGTGAATTGGCTAAAAAATTCCTGCAACTACTAGCTGAAACTTTGATGAAGTATTGTATAACGGTAAAGTATTCCTTATGATCTATTACATTTGCTAATATTTCCTACTTAAATATATTGATAGTATTTTCATTAATTTTCATACCGTCGGAGCATGTCATCAACCATTTCATTTATATAAAATATGGAACTTTGGATCCCAAAACGAACCAACCAAGGTTCGATGTCGTATACATGCTCGATAACAATTGTAGGCCTACAAAGGGATCTTCAATTATGTCTCTATATGAACCAAAGACGAAAAATGTCTCACTTCACACCAATGTACCTAATGCTCGAAGAAACTTGGTGTTTGAAAAAGAAAACATTGAGCAATTGAAAAAACAAAATATGATAGCATCCAGCAAACCTACTGTCGAAGAAATTATTGGAGTTCCCACTGGCAGTATTGTGGATCCAACCCGAAAGTAAATGTGCCAGACTTCCACCAGTTCAAATTAGAAATCATGTTGGTTTTTCTTTTTTTTTTTTTGTTGAAGACAACTGCTGAAAGCATTTGTGAATTAAAGTAGCATCAAACTTTTTAAAGAAGAGAATATTTCCTCTTGAAACTCAAATTGACTAATGGACTTTCATGTATGGTACCATAGAAAGTATTGGTACATACTATAAATTTCAGCTCAGTTTTTTAAGCTAGATTTATGTCATGAAGTGGGATGACTATCTTCATATTTTGTAAATAAAGTAAAGTAATGTATGACTTTTAATTCTCCATAATTTCTCTTTATTTCCATGCTTTTAAAGTAATATATTATATACATAATCTATTATTTCGTATCATCAATAGTGAAGTAATGTATGATTGAATTCTCTCTTTATTCTCTACTTTTCCGAGTTATTATTGCATATGTCTCATTCTCCATGTTGAAGCAACCTTATTCCTTCAATCTTTATCTGTTTCTGTTGAATAGAAAATTATAGTTCAGAGCTGGACTTGTTGAATTCTACCGTTGATTTACAATTAATAGTTGTTTCAATTTTTATCTGTTGGGTTCCAAGTTTCATTCATTTTTATGTTACGCTGTTGGAATAATTAGTAATTTTGGGTTTTTAAGCAATAATGCTTGTTGGGTTTTTGAATTCGTGATTAATCTTTAGCTCTTATCGATCTTTTTGATTTTCGATTTTTTTTCCTTAAGCAAGCAAAATAAAACATTTTTGTTGCCCTGAATCGGAAAGGGGATACTTTTTCGTACAGATCTATTCTTTCTAATTCTGTAGCCTTATTATTGTTAGCTTTTTAACGTAACAAATTTAGTATTTAGAATAGAAAAAAAGAGGAAAGGATAAGAGAAATTGTTGTTTATTATAGTCATATTTTTATGAATTATCATTTATTTGTTTAGGGCACTTTAAAGATAAGCTTTAGTAGAAGGTTAAATTCCTTTTTAGGTTCAAAGGCTTGTTCTTGTTTCTATTATGTCTGAAATGATGAAATTTGTCAATAAAAAGAGATCATTTTTTGTAAATGAAGTGGATATTTAAATGGTGTAATTTAAAGGGTTCTTGGATATTCATTACTTGAAACAATTTAATGATATTTTTACCATTGTTCAATTGTGG